CATTGTTGGAAATATAATAGAAAAATATTTTATTTTCACTAAAACTTCATTGCAATTGTGATGGGGGAAACAGAAGTGACAAGGCCAAAAAAAAAAATGTGAAGCTTTGTAAAATGGCTCTGTGGCAACAAAAACCTCATACGGTACCCAGTAAAACCCAGTAATACCTAGTTTTACAAAATCAAATAGTCAGTCAACCATTGTAAAGAATATATTTTTTATAATAATGGCGCTTACAGTAATTGTTGTTCTTTTTCTTATAGTAACACTGATTCTTGAAATTATTTCTACTGTACTACCAGTATTAGAACAAGAATATCATTTCATTGTAAATTTCTTCTGTATTGTTTAAAAACGAACAGGACGATGAAAGACCTACCAGTAATTTTATACATTAAAAAATTTATGGTAAAATTTAAATATTGTGTTACTCCATCTGAAAACATATGATTCAACCCAGTTTTATAATAATATATTTATAAAAATAATAGTAATTTCAATTGCAGTAGTTGTTTTTGAGCACTGGAATAACATCAAATATTTTGACAAAAATAATAATATTTACATGTTAATAATGATTTTCAGGTCCAATCTTTTTGAATTCTTATAATGACTGATCTTTTTCCTTTACTTTTTGGTTCTTTTAGTCCTTTTTATTTTGCACTTGGGTTGTGGTTTGTAGTGCATAGACACGTTTTACAATATTATGCACATGTGATAAATGTATCGCCATATATTTCCATTATAATATGATAGTTGGTAATGATTCATATTATTAATAATTATCATGATCAAGGACATAGGCTATGGGTGCTGTCACACACCCCACGATAGTAAATTAGTTCCATTAGGTGGGGTAAATTACTAAAAATTTCTATTAAAATTTCATTTGAACTAGTATTTTTTGTTCCATATTTCCATTTTTCCATCTCCCATTCTACTCCTCCAACCACCCTTCCCCTACCAAAACCAGCCTACTCTACACCCATGATGATGATAATACTTTTGGTAGCTGATAATAATGTTATAAAGTTATATTTTTTAGTTAATATTAGAATATCAATAATTGAGCTTTTGGTAAACTGTGTGTAAGAATATAATTTTCAGGATTTCAGTGCACTGGTTGATTTTCTTGATGTTTGTAATGTTTTATATTCATAGTAATGATAATGGCAATTTAATAGTAATAAAATATAATAATTAATGATACGAATAATAACTGTAATAAGGATTATAATAACATTTGATAATTTTCTGTTTTCAGTCAATGCTTTCTTGTACAGTATAAGCATAATAAAATGTCAATTGCTTCATGCAATATGTTCCTATGGCAATTGGCTAGCATCGTGTACAAATGTATGGTACTACCATACCACAGTTCCCAGGGGGAATTTGCTTGCAGCAGTAAATTCAACGTAGACAAGTACATTAAAAATTGTAATACAGGAACATTAATTTCATCCTATCATTAAGTAGCCGTTTATACCTTACTAATTATAGACCATACTTTTGAATGGAGAAAGAAAATTTAGAGGCTAGCAAATTGTCGCTCACATCACAAACTTACCCAATGAAAGTAGATTTTGTTAATTCGTGGAAACAAAAAATGTTTGTTAAAGTATGCACTGTTGGTGTTAGTTATAGACTTTGGGAGGTAAAGAATACAAAAGTGCTTGACAACCAATACATGTTTATTTTGATGTGCTTTTTTTGTATATGAACTGCTTTGATTGTGTTACAGTAGTTTTTGATTTGAACATCATATGGTTTTATAGATTGGTGTAGGTCCTCATATACTGTATAAGCCCACCCTATAACTTTTGAGTATATTTTTGTGCAAAATATTAGGAAATTAGTAGAGCTCCGCATAGTACACTATAGGAAAATTGTTACACGAAGGTTAGATTTAATACTTGAAAAAATTTCTTGAATGCATTAAATCTAACCTAAGTATAATAATTTTCAATGATGCATGCTCTACTAATTGCTTTATAAGTCTTTCGCCGTCTTTCAATTTTAGTTTTTTATACAGCTGCTTTAGTGATATGATCAGTATACGTGTGTGTATTTACATTTAGCTGTGCGTATGCTGATTTTTGCTCCTGCAGTATGCGTTTAATTAACTACTGTACATATCAGCAGTACAGTAAGGATATGATGAATAACTATTGTAATTTGTATTGTGATTTTTGTAATGCTATTTTGATAGACATTCGTCAAAAAAATAAACATTTCGGCATTCGAGAGAGAATACAGTCTCTGACGTCCTTTTTGGTCGGTGCATGCAGACAGGTAAAATCGTGCGAGGATTTCTTAACTAGGCTAGGCTATGGCCTTGTAGTAGTTGAAGGAGGCCTGGGCAGCCTCCTGCCTGGCCGTAGGCCTACATCTAAAATTGTTCCTTGAGTCTTTAAAATAGATCTAGAATATTCCTATTAAACATTCAGTTTGTTGTGTTTATGGGGGTCCATTTATTCAATGAATTTTCTTAATTGTTCATACTTAATATTGAATTTGAAGTAACTTTCTTTAGGTTCTAATTAAGCTTGTTTTACGGAAGTAATTTTCAATTACAATTCAATTTTCATCGCGGCGCACAATGTCTTTGCAGTGACGAAAAAATGAGGAATTATTTTTTGCACAGGAACCTAAAAAAAATCAAGCTGAGTGTCCACTAATTGAAAAATTAGTGGACGGTAGGGAATAGGCAAACATTGGGAGTTGCAGTAATGACGTCACGATTGACTTATAATGTATCGTATTGTAGGTCCACCTCCTGTTCTACATCTTTATTACACTTTGTGAGGACTACTGTAGATTCCAGGCATTTGGAGACACACAGTATCTACTGGCTCATTATTTCTTACATGTTGGATTAAAAAATATGCTGGAAAAAGTGCGCTACATGTGTTTGAATCATCCACAATCCCCCTAGAGGCGTTTTTTAGACAAGTAATTAAATAAATAAATAAATCAGGTTATATACAGTAGTGTACAGTTAACATTTGGTGCTAGAGGCATTTTATAAAGATAATTTTTATGGTCGGAGTCACAAACCTTCTCTCAAGACCTGAGTATGCATACTGTACATGTGATGTTTCTCTAAATGAAGAATTAGACCAAAACCATCAATAGATCTCACTCACAAATCTTGATTAAATTGATTAAGATCTGTATACAGTATGTCTATATTTAGATTTCTTTTCTAATATTATTCTAAACAAATCTCTATTGATTAGGTCTGTCACAAGTATTATTTCTATCCATAGGAGCAGATATGTCTGTACTATGTATATTTTACAGAATACAGTGTGTATCTGCATGAGGTATAGTTTATCTAAACTTTTGTATGTCACTATATTTTACAGAGTATAAACCCAGGATTGCTGGCTATGTTGCAATTCTTATTCTTATTCTTTATTCGCCAAAAATAAACAAAGTATAATACAATGGTGGAATGCATACAGAATACAATAAATTATTTAATGAGTGGGCAGCGACACAAAGGTGAACTTAATCACTATAACAGATTAGTCTGTGAACCTCACTTAAAAATAATAATGATATTTTGATAACTAACAATTTTTTAGATGAAATATTGTTTTTTTATACAGAACTATATACATCATTGACCATCATTTACTATCGTAACCCTTATAGGCCCTGAGTCACCTATAGATATATCATTATGGATTGGTTTTAATCACTGGTTTTTCTTATGAAAATATGACCCAGATGGGACAGAAGTAAGTCAATAATGTTGATATTACTGATGATGACCCCATAGACCTTTAGCAACTATCTGGAATACTGTTGAGTGATTTCAGCTTGCTTGGTATAACTGAGGGGTCAGATCATGACCTGGTATGCAAATGAGCAAGTTATGAAAACAAACCACCAGGTAGATTGTAAACTGATGCATATTTAATACTGTAAGCTGATCTCTGATGATTTTTTTTCTATATCATTACTTCTTCTCATTAGATAATGTATAATTTATATGCTTAGAAATTAGGATCGTATTAAAGGGATTAAATGAAATCTCCTCATCTGTACCATGGATAAATTTCATCCTCATCTAAAATGTATTTTACCGGATGAAGATCATACCCAATTCCATTGTAGCACTTTTTGTTATTACTCTGTTGTACCGACATCTAAAGTGAATATTATCACAAATGCATGATTAAAGCAAACATCAGTATTTTTTTCAGTCAATTAAACTCTAAAAATGTTAACAAGCTATGTCTATTTCCTTGGCACACGCTTCATTTCGTGGGTAAAGTCCTAAATCCAGCCTGTTTGACTTAATTGTTTGACTCTTCTGGTCTGCTCTGTACCTTTCGTTGATTTTGTTGTTCTGTTCAACAAGCATGTGAAGGGGTTTTTGTGTGGAACAAATATCAATATCGTTCCATACATTTCAATTATAACAGAAATCACTTATTTCATATTTTCCACTTCTATGACTCCATTGAAGCCTACAGTTTCAAATGTTTATTCTCCACAGGTTTTTACCTCCTTTACATGCACTGAATTTAATCTTTGCAATTATTATATTTAGAATAAACATATTTACGGTTTGCTTAATAATCAATGATAGGTACTCCTAATTCATTGTTATATTTTAATCCACTATCGATGTTTATACGACAGTAAAATGTGTTCTTACTACATCTTACAATTTTTATGTAGTTTGGTTTTTCGGAGGCTTTCAAACTAAGACAGACAATTTAAACAAAAATTCTGTTTGGTTCTCACAGTCGAGTTAATAATATTCCAATGAAATAAGAACATGTACTGGAATAACCCTTCACAGCAAGACTAATGCTTCCACTGTTTCAGCTTGTTTTAATTGGCGTACTGTAGGGCCTGCATATGCCCACAAGGTTTTTCTAGTCATCGTATGTAAACAGCAAACGTTGTGTATACAGTATGCAAGGGAAAAATCATCATTGTATAGTGGTTTAACTTTTCTCCCCTTCCTTGTTTTCCCTCAGGTAATAGTCCCATGGAGAATAAAACCGACCAGTGGCTAGGGGTGACAGTTCGAAGCCAGGGCCCCGGAGGATACGTTGTGGTAAGTCACCTTTACAATATACAAGGGGTATTTACTTGGAGGTCGTGTAAAAAGAGATGTATACACAGTACATTGTTGATATTTATACACAGCGCTTTACAACAAAACAAAACACCTACTTTCTTACAAAAGGGAGGAAATCCATTCAACCACATTATTGACAATTGTAAAGATTTCTATACGTTATTTCCTGCCTGAATTAGATAGTTTTCTTCAGGTGAATATTTCAATTAGATTTCGCTGTTTCTACTGTAGAATTTTATTAAGTCCATATTATCTATTACCTATCAACAGAGATTTCTGCTGAATTTATTTAAAGATATGTAAAGAAAAAGGTTTGTAATATATGTCTTTTATTTATAATGGGCCATACATATGGAACAATTTACCTTTTAAACTTAAATTAACACATACCTTAAAGTCTTTTAAAAGAAAATATAAGCAATCCCTAAAGATAAATATGCATCTTAGTTATTCATTTTCCTCTATTAAATTAAATTGTGGAAAAATATTAAAAATACAATTCTCTTCATCTCATTTCATTTTATTCTTTTCTTCCTGATTATTACTCAATTTTTACTTGTTACACCTAGCAACATTTCTCTACCTTTATTATCTATTTTTATTTATTTTTTTTTTCCTGTTTGTTTCCTTATTACTTTTTTTATCACTAGACATTTACTAATTCAGTATATGTTTAATTGGAGGATCAGACTTAAAGCCTTTCTGGCTTATTGTTTCCTCCACACACAATGACTATTCACTGTATCTACTACAGCACTTAAATTTATATTGTTATCCATACTATGAAATTCTATTTTGATCATATATTGTTAACTTAAATTAATGAATCAAAACCATTGAATTATTATAATATGTTTGTATATCTTGTTCATTCATTATGTTCATTGTGTGAAACAATAAAACTGAAACTGAAAACTGAAAAATGTCATGTGTTAAATATTGGTTATAAATAATATATTAATTTTTAATATTTTAGTGTATATTTTGGATTCACATCATGGCCCAAGAGGGAAAACAATCATGATGTGGTATACTGCATTGGAAATAAGTATAGGATTTGAATAAGAAGTTAAATTTAAGCTGTAATGTAGGGAATACATTGTTTGATTGGTAGTAACTTCCTTCACTAGTATGCGTTAGCTTGAATAGCACTATATATACCTTTTGGTAATCAGAGGTATTAAAGAGACTCAAATCCATCCTGAAATCATGCTGAAAATATTAATTATTTATATATTGCATTATTAATATTATTTAACATTAATTTACATAAATAATAATAATAATTTAATATATTTTTTAAATATTTTTAAAAATCATTTCTTGAAGTCATGCTGAAAATGTTAATTATCTATATATTGCATTAATTATATCATTTAATATTAATTCAATAAATAATAATTTAGTATATTAATTTTTAATATGTTTTTAGTATATATTTTGGATTCACCAGGACGGAAAACAATTCATAATATGGTGTACTGCATTGGAAAACAGTATAGGATTTGATTAAGAAGTTATATTTAGGCTGTAAATAATGAAGGGAATACATTGTTAATTGATTTGTAACAACTTCCTTCTCTGGTATGCATAGGTTGGAATAGTACTACAGTATACATATATTCAGTGATATTAAAGATACAGACTCAAATCCATCTTGAAATCATGCTGAAAATATTAATTATTTATAATATTATATTATATTATTTAACATTAGTGCAATAAATAATAATTTAATATATTAATTTTTAATATATTTTGAAATCATTTATTGGAAATCATTTCTTGAAATCATGCTGAAAATATTGATTATTTATATATTGTATTATTTATATTATTTAACATTAATGCAATAAATGTATATAGTTAATGTTGCTTTACATATTTTTTGATACATTAGACTTTAGGATTCAACAGGTTATTATCAAATTTATATTTAGATATTTAAACTTATTTTGCACATTTATTCTCAGGATATTCAGTATCACAATTCAAGCTTATAAAAACTTGAATGTTTTATTATATGTAGTAATAGCATTTGCAGTTAATTTTTAGCTTGAGTAACTAGTATTCTGTGATGTAGTGGAAGTGATATGCAAGACAAATGTCCCTAGAAGGCCTGGGACTTTAATTAATACTTTCAGTGACAGCGAATGACCTTATTCTTAAGTCATTTTCCCTCATCCTAAATTAGCTCAATCAAATATTAGTACATTTTCAGGGTCATGTTCTACTATTGAATTAACTGTAGAGCTGCCTAGGCAGACTACAGACTTGCAAGTACAATATCGCCATAGAATGATTTATAGCCCAACATTCTGTATTTTGATACTTTTAAAAATAACCTCAGGAGGAAGAAAATTTGTTGATATGTTGTACAACTGATTTTTCAATTTGATAAAAAACTAGGGAATGGTTTTAAAGAGAAACAGATTTTTGAATATTTAAAAATCTAGCTCGTTTAACTGCGTATATAAATAAGCCTTTCAAAGTTTCAAAGCCCATCATAATGTTACTGTAAACTTATACTATATTGGCTGAGGCGAGAAATTTTTATTATACCTTATTTAGCGAACCTGCTGACTTCAAATATTGATGATTTCGAAATTTTTATTTTTGGCCAATTAGCGCACCCGTCACCACGAAAAATGGAAATTGCAGTAAAAAATAGTTTTTCTTTTTTTTTTATTGTGCCTTCCGCTGCCTTGAAATTTTCAAAGGAAAAAGATATATACATGTATATTTCTTCCTAACTTTATATATTGAATGTAGATGCAAATGTTGATGATTGTATAATGTCAACATTTGCTTCTCTTTTTGGAAATTATTTAGGACATGGCGCAATGTATTCCCTGCCGTTTATTATGATCATTTATATATTTTTGTTGGTATGTTTAATTTCCCATGACTATAAAAGATACAGTAGAAAAACATGTTGAATGATGAATAATCTGATTACAGATCACCACTGGCATGTCCTCCCTCAGACAAGATGGAAAAGTCCATCAGAGATACCACAATAAGCTTTACATACCACTAGTAACACTACTGAGTGATTTTTAGTTAAAGGAATTTCACGTCAATTCATTTAAAACCTCCCATTATCTTTTTCTCAATGGATATTCTGTCTGACTTATTACTGTTGTTCAGGGGTTTAGCAGATCTTGATTGATAGGTTGTGCTTTTATGATAGCAAATTTAGAAAAAAAAAAAAAAAGAAATTGTTTAATAATAGGTTGATGTTTAATGGTATGCATCCGTGCAAATCCGCCAGGAATTATTGATCTGCAAAAAGAAAATTATTTAGCCCACAAGGGAAAATTTGTCAAATTTACCTTCAAGAGATTTATAAAATTAATATGTTTTGTATAATATACTGTAGGTGTTAATTTTGCAATGTATTTGTTTTATTTCATATTCCCACTTCATATTCAGAAGTCATGAACTTTACATAAAATCTCTAAAAGAATTTATTAATGATTGGTACACTGGTTGGAATAATGATAAAGCCGAAGAAAAGTTGTCTTTATCCAATACTGTATGATTGTGAATAATTATATTATTTTATTCCAAATTTATAAATTTAAATAAATATTGAACCAGATGGTATAAATATTTATCTTTATTGATGATTGGTACACTGATTGGAATAATGATAACGCCATAAGAAAAGTTGTCTTTATCCAATATGACTGAATAATTTTATTATTTTTATTCCAAATTTATAAATTGAAAAAATATTGATCCAGATGGTATAATATTTATATTCTGATGCACAACTGGCAATCAACTTCTTATCAATTAAAAATGAAAAATTCCCAAAATTATATTAGATTTATAATCTTACGAAAGGACCATTAAGAGAATGATAGAAAACCATTACCTGGTTTTATAATCCTTCGCGTATCAACGCTTGTGATGTATGAATCAAGACAAATTGCTGTGCAAATTTTATGATGTCAAGAAGCAGTGATGCACAGAGAACACTTGAACTAACAATGATCATTAATAGGTTGGTTCTGCGCTCTAGAATGAACCAAATACTGTAGCCTCTTGGTGATTTGAAAAAAGTTCACTGCCTTTATCATTTAGTTTGTATTCATAACAGAATCCCCTTTTGGAATCCTCTCATTTAAAAAAAAAAATTGAAAATTCTGACAATTATTGTTATACTGTATTATAAATGAAAGAACTTTTTGTTGTGATAAAGTTTTGTGTGGTCTTGTCTCCTTCAGATCATATCTTGCGTCAAATATAATTTTGTTCATTCAAGTTTTAATTATCTATTGAGAGAACACTTTTTGCGATAATAGTTTATGATTTTATATCGCTCATCAATCATATTTTATAAAACCGATTTTGGTCTGCTAATCAAGCAGGTTATTTAACAGAGTGTGAATAAATTATGTATACTGTACGTGCATATTCACATACTCAGATATGTATAATTTTTCAGAAAGAGAAAAATGCTCATTGGAATTAAAATTAATTTAGAACAGTGTATATGTTTTGTGATCAAGTTTTAAGGACTTTTATAGATATGCCACTGGTCAGTGTCTGAGGGGGAGAAGACTGGGGAGCATTAATCCACCCCTACATCCCCTCCCCCCTCCCCACTAATTCTAGTTTAAAAATTATTCTTATCTAAAATAGGATAATAAAAATGATTTATACAATTAAATTATATATTTTGTTAACCAGTCTTTGTAATGATTTTGTCTCGCACTTGATAATCTATATCTCGAAAAATGCAGGTTGATTCAGTTGGATACCATTTCCATTGGGTGTCTATTTATGATTTTCTCATCTCAATCATGTTTTATATATATTTTGGTCTGTTATGTGTTAGTTAAGCAGGTTACATTGGGTGGAAACAAGGGAGTGTATGGTTATGTAGGCTTACTGTATGTACAAAAAAAATAAAGAAAATGATGATTAGAATTATAATTAATCTAGTATAGTGTGTCTTGTGATGA